TAATGAATGCTAAAATGTTGCGGTTTCCAGAAATAAAGGGATACAGGGATATAAGGTTAGAAATTTAAAAAAGGTATAAGAAGATAGAGATTGGAAAATAACAATTGGGAGTTGCTAGTTGAACTTTGGACACTGGGATGCAGAGAGGGGGGTATGGGGAAGTCAAAGGAAAGAAGTTTATGAAAATATGTTTGAAACTATACGTGTATGTTTGTCATTTTTGGTGTTTGTTTGTTTTTTGTTTAAAAAGTTTCTAAAACCAATAAAAATTTTATAAAAAAAAAAAAAAGAACAGACCTCCAGAATGAATTAAGTTCTTAACCCGAGGTACCACTGTACATGCACACAGTTAGTTCCCAGGCTGCCTGGTACTTGGCAGAATTTGCAATGGAGTGCTAGTATATCTAACTGATATATATATATATATATATATATATATATATATAAAAATTGTCATCATTAGACAAAAAGGAAGATGTCTCTGTCTCTATACCAAATGCATCTATCCTGGAGGGGAGGATGTAAGACTTGGGAGGTGGAAATAACATTACTGCAATGCAAATGCCCTTCCAGAGCTGCCATTAGCCATAGAAAGCGGGCAGGACATATACAGGATTTTCTTCCAGATCAGGGATGGTGAACTGATGCTCTCCAAATAGGACTCCAAGTCCCATCAGCCCCTGCCAACATGGGCAATGCTAAGGAACCATGGGAACTGCAGGCCAGCAAAATCTGGGAGATTCAAAACTTCTAAATTACACATGGTTTGGCTCTTATTTTTGTGTTTGCTGGGAAGTAAGGAAGAAGCAGCTAGTATATCTGGGTCTGGTTATGCTTTCTTGGAAGAAGCAGAGAAATATATGGACAGAGCTGCCTGACCCATCACTATCATCATCAAGCCTTACTGGGCCAGCGCTTCATGAAAAATCTGGGACTTGCCCTGCTAAACCCCTTGCAAATCTGGTAGCAATCCTACCGCATGCCTAGTTATAAATAGGCTCTACAAAATCCATGAAAGTTGCATTATGGTTCGAACAGAATCACAGAACTGTAGAGTTTGGAGGAACCCCGCAGAGAAATCTAGCCCAACCCCATGCAATGCAGGAATTAACGAATGCAACCCTTCTCAAAGCCAGTCTCAAAGGCTTTTGTTTTGTTTTTAATCTGGATTTTTAGGAGCACAGAACCTAAAAGTAGGGCTGCCAAGAACGGGATTTAAAAAAAAAAAATCTTGCAACAATCTCAATTGCTGCGTCACTTTTCGACTGTTGCAACCTCTCCCGAGAAGGAAAGGGTTTTATTTGGCGTTTTCCTGCAGGCACCCTCCCTCCCCGGATTAGCAGAGAATAATCCCATTGAATGCATTGCAGGTCGCATACCTACGCGCTCGGTGGCTCGGCTCCCCTCGCGGCTCCCCTAAAGGCTCCCACCTTTGCAATGCACGGCTCGGAGTAGAGGGGACGGCAGCCAATCATTGGAAAGGAAGCAAACGACGTCCCGCCTCTGCAACGGTTTATGTGGCTCAGGTTGTCTTTCACTCAAGTCTTGGGCAAAATTCTCACGCCTGGTTGCATAAACACCTGGATGCTGCCCTCTAGCGTTCATGCTTTTAATTTTCACTGCAAGGTGCTCTTTTCTGCCTGGTTTCGGAATCATAGAATTGTATACAGTGGTACCTCGGGTTACAGACGCTTCAGGTTACAGACTCCACTAACCCAGAAATAGCACCTCGGGTTAAGAACTTTGCTTCAGGATGAGAACAGAAATTGTGTGGTGGTGCAGCGGCAGCAGGAGGCTCCATTAGCTAAAGTGGTACCTCAGGTTAAGAACAGTTTCAGATTAAGAACGGACCTCCAGAACGAATTAAGTTCTTAACCTGAGGTACCACTGTAGTAGTAGTAGTAGTAGTAATAATAATAATAATAATAATAATAATAATAATAATAATATATTATTTATACCCTGCCCATGTGGCTGGGTTTCCCCAGTCACTCTGGGAGGCTCCCAACAAAATATAGAAAACGATAAAACATCAAACATTAAAAACTTCCCTAAAAAGGGTTGCCTTCAGAGGTCTTCTAAAAGTCAGATAGTTGTTTATTTCCTTTGGAATGATACGAGTTGGAAGGGACCACGAGGGTCATCTAATCCACCCCTCTGCAACATGGGGCTCAAACCCACAAACCTCAGGTTAAGAGTCTTCTGCTCTACCAACTGAGCTACTTGCGAGCTACTTTTTAAAAGCAGGAGAGACAACAGAGCAAGTGGCATTGTTTTTTGTTTTGTTTTAGTAGCACGTTTCAGCTTTTTGTTGAATAATAAAAAAAGGGTCTTGGCGAGTTTGTAATGAAAATCCAGGAATGGGTTTTTGAATTTAGGTGCACGTATCAGACTATCGTTGGGAAATGACTATTGAGACACAAATGCAGCCTTCAGCTCTAGTAAGAACATTCATCCTCCTTCTGTTTTCACTCATTACTTTTCAGTGCCCAAGGAACAGGACTGCTGTCAAACCTAATGACATGGAAGACATTTAGAGAGATCCTGTGCTTAATATAGGAATGTGAGGGGATTTTGGCTTGGCCTCCAATTTCATGTAATGTGACCTTCCTTCATCCCACTGAAGCAATCTTTGGAATGGAACATTGGCATCCCTCTGCTTTGGGAGACAACGGAAGAGTGAGCCTTCAAGGGTGGTCGAAGCGTTGGGGAGTTACAGTGCCTGCTGTGGCCGTAGAGACCGGATATGGGAGAGACATGTTTTGTTGCAACTAGGGCAGATGAAGGTGTCTGGTTGTGCTGCTGCAGAAGCACTGTGGCGTTTCTTCTCTGCTCCAAGCACTGTGATCGTAAAATACCATTTAGCGTAATGTTCCCTCCTTCATTCCATTGATCCCAAACTTTGGAACGGAACGTACAACTCAAGGACTGATTCAATCGTTGCACTTTGGAGATGGGACCACGTTGTTGCCTCTTCCTTTTGCTTGGGCAGCTTCAAAGCTCAGCACCACCACCCCTACTGGGTAAAAATACTTCTCGTGTAACTATGTACAAAACCACACTGTATGGACAAAAAGAGAGCTATCCTCACCGATACAACATGGATGCAGCCATTTTTTTAAAATCATCATCATCATCAACCTTTATTACGGTCCAGAGACCCAACAAATCGTTACAAAGTAATACACAATTCATACAGCCTACCTCCAGGTTAAATAAGCATTTCGTTCAGAAAATAGGGATCATTGGTTCTTGCAATCACCGATAAAAACTTTGCCATTGCTAATGTTCTAGCATTTGTCCAGTCTTCTAATAGGAACCTGACATAGCCGCCCTGAGCCCGGCCTTGGCTGGGGAGGGCAGGATAGAAATAAAAAATATTATTATTATCATTATTATTTTCCCGGGAAAGGTACCAGCAAGGGTAATATCAGTTCAGCCCTGGCTTGCTCATATTTTGCAACTGCAACAAAATATGTTTTATGGAATCGATGTCTTGAGCACATGAGCAAAGTCTGTCCTGGTAGGGAACTCCTCTCAATCTGCCATCCAACACTGCAGAAGGAAAGACGTTTAGTCTGGCTTTGGTGAAAAGCCTTCGATAATTTGGTACTGTCAGGTTTTTAATGTAAGATGTTAACTTAAAAGACATGCCGATATTGGACTCCTACTGCCAATGGACTACAGACTGCGTGTGATCGAGATCGCAAGTCACTGTGTGCATTATCCCATAATCTTTGATTTAACGTCTTTAGGGCGCCTTCATAACCCAGGTAATACAGTTGGGGGGGGGGTGACAGACCAATAAGGTAAAGGTACCCCTGCCCGTACGGGCCAGTCTTGACAGACTCTAGGGTTGTGCGCTCATCTCACTCTATAGGCCAGGAGCCAGCGCTGTCCGCAGACACTTCCGGGTCACGTGGCCAGCGTGACAAGCTGCATCTGGTGAGCCAGAGCAGCACACGGAACGCCGTTTACCTTCCCGCTGGTAAGCGGTCCCTATTTATCTACTTGCACCCAGGGGTGCTTTCGAACTGCTAGGTTGGCAGGCGCTGGGACCGAACGACGGGAGCGCACCCCGCCACGGGGATTCGAACCGCTGACCATGTGATCGGCAAGCCCTAGGCGCTGAGGTTTTACCCACAGCGCCACCCGCGTCCCAACAGACCAATAGAGGTGGCTTTTTTAGCCATGGTTTTCTGCCATTTGCTGACAAATTCCTCATTGGTCAGGTGTTGGGACAAACCCTTCCCTAGATCAAACACTGAAATCCTGAGCCAATGTTTTAGGGATTAAAATGATAACCTGGCCCTTTGGACATACAACTGCACAATTTTAAAAATAATTTTAAAAGGGTGTGGCAGAGGCGATACAGTGTAAATATGCTTGGAATACTGCAGAGTGTATTAAATCAAGAAGGGAAAGTGGCCTTCCCTCCACCTTGCAAGTACTCAAATTTATTTGTGATGCTTTAAAGCAGTTTCCTTAAGATTTCTCCACCATTAGCCTAAATAACCTACATAGAATTGTAGAGTTGGAAGGGACCCCAAGGGTCATCTAGTCTAACCCCCCTGCAGTGTAGGAATCTTTTGCCCAATGTGGGGTTCGAACCCACAACCCTGAGATTAAGAGTCCTGTGCCCTACTGAGCTATTCCCTCCTTCCAACCTTGAAACATCCATGTGGAAATAGGGATGGACAAGTCTGTCCCACCCTAACTTAATTCCAGCTGCACTTTAATATTTGCATTTCTGAAGTAGGACAAGTGCTGACATGAACCTTCCTCTTCCATTTTAAGAATGAATATGGGGCATTTTCTACTCCGAGCCTCAGGGTCTCAGCTTCCAATCTGCACAGGTATTCAAGTATCTTAGGGAAGTGAAGTGATAGAACAGGAGAATATGCTTTTGAGCTGAAAACAGGGTTATGGTATGGTGGTTGAATGTCATTGGTTGTGTGGAAAAAAATGAATGCTTTGGCAAAGAAAAAAGAACACAGAAACAATGCAAAAGTGAATAATTTATTAGATCTTTAATTGAAACATTTTCCACCTCCACTATGTGACTTGCTGGAAGGTCTTCCATTGTTTAAAAGCACACAACACACCTAAGGTTAGCAGAACATTTGTGTCGTGTTTTAAATACATGTTAAATGCTTTTACGCACTGTTGAATAGTTCGGCCGACCGTGCATCTTCTTCCAGAGCTTGAAAGACAGGGAACTCAAAACGAACCTGGAACGATTTAAAGGCGCATTGAAAAGACACATTTCTAAAGTAGAAAGCTGAAAAGTTTGGATAATAAGAAAAACTAAGGCGGAGAGCTCGTGAGCAAAAGTTTGCTCCCGCTATGGGCAAAGAGGGGGAGGGAATTTTTTACCAAATCCGTCTTCCCTCAAAAACACCCTACGGCCAGCAAAAGCTGTTCCAGGGGTTTGGGGAACCATTAGGAAGAGTATGGAATGCAATAGGGGATGGCTGCAGGAAAAAAGTTAGCAAAAACCGCCCTACAACATCCCATCAGGATGGGACCCATGCAGACCCCTCCTGTAAATGGAAAGAGCATTTCCTTTTGCAGGGCTGTGGTTTTGAGTTCTAAGGGATCCAAGGCTAAAACTGTCTCTGGAACAGCTGTATTTTACTGTAATGTGCTAGCCTGAGAACAAATTAGAAAGCAGCAAGAAAGACTAAGCAGAAGATAATTTAGTTTGCTCCATTTATACCACTTCACTTGCTGCTCTCTATCCAGTAAGGATATTGTATTACTTTGCTATGGAGGTGTTGCTGTTTTCCTCTGGACACCATGAGATTGGAAGGCGGTTAAAAATATAGAGTTGAGGCCAGATCTTCAGTTGGTAAACAGCATTTAAAACTCTACCAACGTAAGCAGAGAGGTTTACACTTGCTGAAGGCCTGGCAGCCCAAAATTGTGCTACTGTTAATATGAGGAATTTTTTAAAAGTACCGTATTTTTTGCACCATAACACTCCTCCTAGAAAGTAAGGGGAAATGTCTGTGCGTGTTATGGAGCGAATGCCTGCGGGTGGCGAGGGGATCTGCTGCAGTCGTGAGCAGAGGATCCATGGTTCCCCTTCCTTCCCTCCTCCGTGGTTACAAAGCATGGATCCACATGGATCCTCAGGATTTTTGCATTGGACTACTCCAAACTCACTGTCAGATCACATGTCTGTGGCCACAGCATGAACCACAAAAATCATATATCCACTATTTCGTTTAGAATATTTTTTTCTTGTTTTCCTCCTCTAAAAACTACGTGCGTGTTATGGTCGGGTGCGTGTTATAGAGCGAAAAATACGGTACATTTTAAGGCTATAAACTTCCATGGGTACCCTGGTAAGTTAAAAACAGGGGCTATGTTTAGTAAAATAAACTATTACTAGAGAGAGATCTGCTAGATGACCACCTAGTGCAGTGCTAAGAGAACACTAGAACTTTTTACTAGAAAAAAAAGATGTATATATACAAAAAAAGGATACAGCAAGAAAGGATACACTTTGCATGACACAGTATTACTGCAGTATTTAGGCAGGAATGTTTCTAAAGAAGAACAGCAGAATGAGGTTTAATCCTTTTATTCTCTGTTACAGCTTTCATTCTTTAGACTACCTATTTTAAAACAGTGGTCATTTTTAAATCTTCAGACCAAATGCACCAGGAACTCGGGAGAACAGCTCTGAATCCAATACAAAGAATATAGTATTAACTATTCAATCAGTACAATGCCAGAATGCGCACCAGAATTCTGGCTTTTTGCCATGTTCAAAAGCTAAGCATTTCTGTCTCCAATGTAGTTTTTGCTAGATGTTAGCCAGTGCTAGAATGTATTAGCATGGTCCCCCTACAATTCTGCTGGCTACCCAGCCATACCAAATATATCCATTAAAAATAATTTGTGGGATATGATGCATCAGGAGGCCACTTATCATGGGAAAACTTTTGTCTGCTACTTTTGTTCTTTTTTTAAGCATAAAAACCAAAGAGTGGTTTTTGTAACATTCGTATTCCTTGAGTGGAGCCTATCTCCTGCTTATGGCACTGTGCTGCACATTTGCTATTCTGGTGAGATCAGGGGAGGAGAGAAAAAGAGGATTTCCCCAATCTTGCACGGATCCTTGGAGAGACACAAACTTGGAAGGAGACAGAAACTTGCCTCTGCTGTTATGCAGAGCCAAAGAAAGTCAGAGTCGAGAATCTGTCCCTCCCCCTTCAGGAGGAGAAGGGCAAGCACAATTTCTGACTGGCTACCAAAGCTACAGGACACCAGCAAAAGAAATATCCGTCTTTAAAAAGACACTGCAATGCAACGGATACATTAGTTTCATCTGTAGCTATTTTTGCCAAACAACTGACGGAAATTTTACAATCATTTTAGCAAAGGATACAAGGTTACGGAAGCCAGTAACACAACAGAATGCAATTTTATTTATAAAGGTCAAACTTCAGCAGCGTGCTCAACCTGCAATTTGCCAGCCCCCCCCCCCCCAATCTATGACCATCAGCAATCCAGGATGGTAAACAAAAACGAACATTGTGATTACTGGAAAATATGGATGAAAACACTCAAAACTAACGCTCCGATTTGCTTCCAGATGGTCATTTGCAATACTACAAGAATACTCGACTGGCTAGATGTGTCTTTTTTAAAATGAATGGGCATTTCCGTCTAGGTCCACCTGCTGTTAGTTATTGCATCTTCAAGAAACCAAATCCTAGGGGCAGTTTACAAACATAAAACATGCAGTATCATAAATGATAACAAAGCGATTGTAGCAGCCATGCAACTTGATCTTAGATCAAGGGGCAGAGACCCCACAGTTCTAGGAGAACAGTGGAAGAGGAGCCCAAAGGCCAAATTCGTTTGCACTCTGACATTCTAAAACTGATGACACAATGAACGCAAAATGTTATATTTATAAAAAAAATTCTCAGGCAGAAAGAAAAAAAGTGCTGCTGTGTTGATCAAGCAGAAGTTAGAAGTCTTTTCTTAAACCAGCTCCTGTTGGTGGTCAAGGCCTGTTTGTCACTGGAAAGCAAACCAGATTGTACCACTTCGATAACACATTGATGGAATGTTGCCCACACAAGGAGATTCCTGTTGCACATCGAAAGCTGGCGCATCAGGAAGGAGGCTAGTGGGGAACGCATCTCACCACCTAGTTTTCTAAGCCATGTCTAAGTCAGGTTCACCACTTCAGAGGCAATGCAGCCATGCTCTCTGTGTTTTGCATTTTTTTAAGTTAGGAGGGCAAAATGGAATACAAGGGAGTTTACCTACCTTCAGGGTCTTCTCCCCTTATCTTTTCTCCTTTCCTCTTTGGGATCCGGCTTTGGTCTCGCGGATCGAGCAAATTGCTTGGATTTTATTAAGGAATAGAAGTCTTGACGGCATGCGTTAACAAGAACAATTTATAAGCGGCCGGGGGGGGGGGGAGGAGATGTAAGAAACAAAGACTACGGGACACAAAAGCATCACAAAATTATGATCCTTCTTAATTTCTATTTATTAAAACTAAAAAAGCTTGTTAGACCACCTCAGTGGAGATGGCAGAAAAATCTAACTCACTTTGCCTTCTTAGTGCTGCAGAGAAAGATTTATGTTAAAATAATTGTTGCTGTGTTGATGCAACCAGAACCAAAACACTGTGGAGCTGGAAAACAGAGGAATGGAGAAGAGACTGGGGTGATGGGTGGAGTTGGAGGGGTGTATGTGAAGCAGGAGACAATGAGCAGCATGCACCAGCACACTTTTGTTCATGATAAGATATGGTTTATTTCTGACTATGGCTTACTACGGAGGTGGGAGCTGTGGCGACTCCCACCATTCCTGACCACTGGCCATGTTGGTTGAGGCTGATGTGTGTTGGGAGTCCAACAGCCCTGTCTTACTGTCATGTGCAAAATGGGCCAGTAACTGTTTTAATAACTGGTTTTCCATTTTTTTAAAGCAAAAAACAAAATTTGTGGATGGTTCAATTGCCTTGATCAGGCGTAGGCAAACTCTGCTCGTCCAGATGTTTGGGACTACAATTCCCATCATCCCTGACCACTGGTCCTGTTAGCTAGGGATGATGGGAATTGTAGTCCCAAACATCTGGAGGGTCAGAGTTTGCCTATGCCTGGCCTTGATTTTCACTCCATGACTTCACTGGGTTCCACTCAACCCAGTACAAGAAGCTGGCTGTAGAGAACTACATAGGAGACAAAAGTTTGAGGGCTGTTTTAGCGAAGGCCTGGCTGGTTGGTAAAAGTGTCCCTTTGGTGGCAGGGGAGAGGGCTGAGGAACACAGGAAAAGGGCAAATGAGTGAAGGACTCTGCTAGCTGGTTCACTCCCCTCCTTCTCACCTGTGCTGCAACAACTATGTCTGTGTTTGCCTACAATTTAAATGGGGACAAATAATATGCAGAGAAACCTTGCTACCAAAAGCAAGATTCTAAAGGCAGGCCCAATATTTAACTGAAAATGAAACGGAAAGCTTTTTTTTTATTTTAAGAAAAGGATACGACCACCATAGGCTTGTCAAATAAAACATATCCATTGACTTCTTTCAAAGCTTTTGCAGCTGCTCCTTCATTGGGAAGCCCAACAAATGCTTGTCCTTTCATACGGCCTTCTTTCATTAAGCGTATATCGAACCTAGGATAAATTTCAAGACGTAAATGCTTCAGCTGCCCAGTACATATCGTGACAGATGAAGGAAGGAGCCATGATTTGTTTCAGTAGTTCTCACAGTTCATATAGAAACAGTCAATAGGACTACAGAAGAGTCCTGCTGTACAAACAGCCTGCTCAGGTTCTTGCACAATTCTGGCAAAACAGGCATCTTCTGATACATCACTATACATTTCAGCTTCCCAAGCTGTGGCACCCATGGAATAAAATTGCAGTTCTGTTACTAGAACAACATTCTGTAACAGAATTACAGTTCTCTTAAAAGAACAGCATCCTCACTTGGTACATGTCTACTCTCTTTCCCACACCCCTCCTTTGCAACATCCTTAGCTATCTTCCCAATTCTCCTAATTCCTTTCTCCATGCCCTATTTTTTTTCCAGTGCACAATTTATCCCTTCCCACAATCTCACTTTCTCGGCCACATTTCTCTGACTCAACTCTCTCCTTCTACACCCCAGTGGCTTCTTTTCTCTCTATTGTCACAAGTGGTATAGGCCCTCCCCATGCCCACCCTGCTGCTCTCAATCCTAATGTTTCATTATCCTCTATGATCCTCACTATAGTCTTTCATTAAAAAGGGTGCTGGACTCCTCTACTGGAAAACAGGTGGAAACATATGAGTTCATGGATATATCATTTGGCTCACCAAATCAAGAGCGGCTCAACCTACGGAAGAAGTCACCCAGCCATCACTTACATTATACGTTCAGTTTCTGATGAAAAGTCAACGTATCTTCCAAAGATAAACTTCAAATCCTGGGATTTAAATAAAAGCAGAGCAGGAAGAGTTAGCTACTTCTGTGGAAGGAACCAAACACTTTCTGCTCAATTCCCACTTACCCTTTCTTGAACTTGTTTAGAGAGATTCTTCACGTAAATTCTACAATTTGGCTCACCGGGCTCATAATTTCTGAAGACAGCAAGAGTTTCCATTTCTTGAGCACAGAAAAAAAAATATATAGCTGTAATCTCCATTTTAGCCAATAGGCTTAATTAAATAATTAATTCTCAACAGAATGTATATTTTATGTGAAAAAAACCCAAATCAACTAAGCAATATAGCCAAACAAGCTCATCACATTTAAATAAAGCAACATCCTCATTGCGTGTCATAAAAAAAATTAATGGTAATAAAATCACCTTTATGGGAGACTCTGCTTTTTTCTAGCTCTCTTTTAGAAACAAATTCCGAAGGTATTTCATCGTCTTCTTCTTCCTCTTCTGTCTCTTCTTTATGACTGGAACAGAGAGCGGGTAAGATTTTTCCAAACCCTTCACCAGATATTTCATCAATGGCTGCATAGATGTCTAAGACAATTAAACACAGAGAACGTTTAGTTGGGACGTGATCCTGAGACACAAGTGACCTCAATCAAATTAAATACATGATAACGTGAAATCCATGTACATATAAACACGTTTTAGTTGACACACACAGCATACCATTGTTATGCTGCTCCGCCAAGCTTTTCTGAAGAATGCCAGGGCTCTCTGAAGGTATGTGAAATTCAATTTTTTTGAGACCTACAGGGTGCGGCTGCTCAAACACATCCGAAGGCGACAGGGCTGGGTGCAAATTGCTGTTCAAAAAGACAACATAAAGCTTTGTTTAAAGCTTCTTTACAAGAAAGATTATGCACAGAATTGTTTACTCCTTAATGATTTTACATTTCTTTAAAGGGATTGCAAAAAGGGTTGCTAAGCACGTTACAGGTAAGAGTTGCAAGCAATATTCTGGCAATACTGTTTTTTTCTTACAATATAGCGCTATATACAATCACACCGCTGGACAATCTATATTTTTACTTGCTGAATATTTCTGACAGTTCAGTCAGGTAATTTCTCAAGATATCTATGTACTCCTTACATAGCAATGATCCACATTCAATACTCATATATCCATACCTGTGGGAAGCAAGCTGGGAGACATTTAATAAGTCTTTGATCTTTCTCCTTTTTCTTGTACGGTGCGGCTTTGTTGGGATCCGTCGTTTGGGTTGGAGGGTTGCCAATTCCATCAACTTTGTAAATCTGAATTATTAACATATTGAATACTTTATTGGAAAAAAGGCATTTCAACAGAAAATATGGGGGGAGAGTTAAACTTATCAATGAAACAAACCTCCCGCCCTCAGGGTTTTAGAGTTTGGCTTTTAAAAGAAGACTCTATTTAGTAGATGCCTGCTGCAGACAAGGTGATGTTGACTACTCTGCCATTTCTTCCACTCTGAACCCTGGTAGACGGAGAACTGGGGAGAACTGATTGGGAAACACACACCACTGCCCTAAGAAGAGTCTGGTAAATGAAAGAGAAGTAGCAGCCAGAGCAGCTGTCTCCTTTGGTTTCAGTTTCTCTGAAAGATAATGTGCTGACGAAGTCCAGTGAAGCTCAAACCTCACCACACACGAGGGGAAGAGGCTATTTCTCAGATCTAAACTTGCTATAAGAAAGGGACGGGAGGAAGGGGGCATCTGAAATCAAGATCAATTTTGCGGGGTCTACAGACCAAATTAACCCCTATCAAGTTAAGGGTGAGGTATGCTTTCCCTACCCATTCACTTCTTTGAATTACATCAGTTGATTCCATGCTCTATAGGTCTTCAAGGGCAAGGCCAAAAGCTTTGGGGATATATATTTAATATATATAACCAACGAGATGTAACTATTTGGTGGAAGCACCACACAAAATGCAGTATTTTAAGAAAAGAGTATTTTTTAAAAAAACAAAACAACCCTCCCTTGATACTCAATTATGGTTAAAATACCTTTTGAAATACTTTTGGGCAAGGTTTAAAATTAGTTGAAAATATATTTACTGCTTGATAAAAGAAATCTAGCAGTCTCTCCATAGTTGGTATTAAAGTAGGCTTCTATGTTACTGCTATGTAGTCAAGAGAGAAAGAGACAGAGACATTGATTACTAAGGCACAGGTAATTCCTAAACTATGGGTTCCAATCCCATAGTTTAACTATTTGCTAACTTTTACAGAGCCACCCAGAGTGGCTGTGGAAACCCAGTCAGGTGGGTGGCTGCTGCTGCTGCTACTACTTCTTCTTCGACTGCAAAATATCACTAACTCTTTGCAGGCAGAGAAAAACAAGGACACCAACTTTTACGCAGGGAGCAGCAGGCTACAAAATATCACTAACCTTTCTTTTTCCTCTTCATCAGCACTTTCATACTCAGATTCATCTTTGCTCGAGTCCTGACTGTCCTCCTCTTCAGGCAAAGGGGGTTCCTCAGGAGGCAGAGGAGGAATAGGAGGCGGTAAAGGGATATACTCTTCATACTAAAGGAAAAATAAAATATACAACCTTTTTGGTATTTCTGTTGTTAACAGTTCAAATGTGAGCGTGTGTGTGTGTGTGTGTGTGTGTGTGTGACAGAGAGAGAGAGAGAGAGAGAGAGAGAGAGAGAGAGAACATACACAGTACTCAACAAGCAAGTGTTCTGCACCAGTCTAGTGATGTTCTGCACCAGTCTAGTGATTGACATTAGATTATCACATACCCTCTTGTGGGCAGTGATAAGAAAGGGTCTGGACAAAAGGCCATAGCTACTGCATCACTCATGCAGCATACCCAGGAAATATGGGTCAAGAGTGGAGACTGAGGAAAGAACAAGGTAAGAATATTTATGTATCCATGTGCAATTTATCCCACCATTGTACCAACAGAACGTGGGGCAACCACAATGTAAAGTGCAGATTTAGCTGTTGTGAGGGATGGACAATATGCTTTAGCAGATCTTGACTACAGAGTTTGACTACATCAATTGCATCTCTTCTTATTCTGAGAAGAGTCAATATACAGCTCAATATACTGAACTTATATTTCAGTAATGATAGGAAATTCCCATTATATTTTTCAAAGCACACCTTTTATAGTTCACTTGATAATGAAGAACAGGACCCAAAGATGGAGTGACACTTCTAACTGAGGAGTTGCAAAAGCAGTTTGATATGGCATGATAATCAGTTGTTGATGGGGGGAAAGCCAAAAATTCCACTAGGTTCACACTCCCACTTGGATCCTAGCCAAAAATGTTAAAGAAAGGGGTATCTTAAAACTATAAATACAGTGGTACCTCTGGTTACGAACTTAATTTGTTCCGGAGGTCCACTCTTAAGATGAAACCATTCTTAATCTGAGGTACCACTTTAGCTAATGGGGCTTCCCATTGTCACTGGCGCGCGATTTCTGTTCTCATCCTGAGGTAAAGTTCTTAACCCGAGGTACCACTTCTGGGTTAGCGGAGTCTGTAACCCAAATTGTTTGTAACCCAAGGTGTCTGTAACCTGAGGTACCACTGTACAATGTTGCATTTATTCACAGTGCTTCAAGTAATAACAGTTTCATACCATAGGAGGTCGAGGAGTAACTGGCCCAAAGGGAGGAGGAAGATTCATTTTGTTCATAAGATGCAAAACCTGAAAGACAATAGCAACTTAGCATCTTCTCCAGGTACTCAAAGATGAATACTTGAGTAAACATGCCATTGTCATGGGACAAATATTATCCTTGCCACAACCGTTCACGTATTCCACATAAACCAAAACTTGTTGCATATTTTACAATGGTTTTATATTTCCTATAACTAATGAGCAGGAAATATGTCATCTGAAGATTAAAATGTCAGTTTGCATTTCTTAGTATAGAAATTATTGATCTGATGTGTAGAGATCTTTCCTATTCTAATTGATTCAAGAGGGTTCTGGAAGCTTCTCTGTGTGAAAGAAACAAGCAGAAGGTTCATGATGTTTGGGTTATTCCTTCAGAGAAGCTGCATACAGCTTGCTTAAAATGGTTCTCTTACCTTTTTCTGTCAAGGTCATGCTGACTATAATAAGAGGCCAGAAGGAGCCTGGGTTACTCTCTCTTTCCATCTGGTGTAGTGTTCTGTACATGGTATGCTTAGTGTTAAGGTTTAGTCTTATTATAAGTTATCGTAAGTTTAAGTGAAGTCTGCTGCAACTGCATTTCTTATGGACAGTGCCAATCCTGAATGTATTCAATTTGTGACCATTATGCTCATTTGCCTTTGGTAGCAGTAAAGTTCTGCTGGATGAAATGCCTCTGGACTATTTTTTGGGAATCCTGCAACATATTTAAGCTTTTACTCTGCTAACTATACTTTGGAATTCTACTCTGGATCAATAGTGAGTAGAATAAATGACATAAAATCCTGGAACCATAAAAAATGAATAATTCTACAAGTTAAAATAAGTTGTGCTTGCCAGACAGAACTAGATTTAATGTATCTACCTAATGTGATTTATTTAAGGACTTTTTTCTCACAGGGAGATGGGATACTGAGATAAAATAATTTGGCAATACAGGGAGATATATGTACAACAATTATAACAGAAACGGTGTAAAATCTTGACCTAGGCAGTAAAACAATATCAACTAGTTTGGACATATTTGAAAACATGGTTACATACTTCCAAGCATCTAACAATATGGACTAGAAGTTTGGCCTTTAAAAAAAATTATTGGAAAGAAAATTTAAAGAACCATGTGATTTGTCATTTAAGACACTGAGCAAAACCACCCCTAGATTCTGCAATGAACACGCATACCTTACCTACTTCTGCCATGGAATCCACGATGGCACACATGTGATCCAAAAGCCAGTACTGGCACTGACAGGCATGCATATATTGAGCAAGGTGGTAGCTGTATGGTGCCTTCAGACCATAGCTTAATAGCTTTGATGGCTCAAAACAGTGCTTATGAGAACATACTAAAAATATTCTTACTGCTAAAGGTGATCCAATAACTCATACTGAAAGTCTTTGTGAGCTCCTTTGCAGTCACTTTCAAATTAATTGATGCCACTACAAACTCAAATAGGAGTGGAGCGATGCGACATTCACAGCAGAATCCTATACAAAAGTAAGTCCCACTGAGATCAATGGAGCTTATTTCAAAGAAGCAGATACAGGACACAAGCCCTAGTCAATAATTTACAGCTGCTTAAAATAACAATTTGGCAATACCATACTAGTAATCCCATAGTAGTATAGAGTTTATGTATTGAATTTAGGTTGGGGACGAGGATTTACACTTACCTGCACATAAAACTTAGGCACACTTGCCAAGGCATTTGCTATGTTGGCTAGGATTGTACTGGAAGGCGGGGGATATCGATATTTGAGGCAAGAATTTATAGGGAAAGTTAACCTGTGAGGGGAAACAAACCAACCTTAGAAACAATTCAAACCTATATAAAAAAAGCTTCACTATGCAGAAGAGTTCAATATTTAGAGTTTAAAAGCACCGAACAAAGAAACCCCTAGCTCACAAACCAGCAATTCTGAAACATCAGAGACTGATTCCATAACATGCAGGGATTAATAAAAATATTTACCAACTACGGGATTGTAATGCTTCTCTTTGTTGAACAGCAGCTCCCAACACTACAGGGGACACCATTTTTTGAAACTAAAGGGAATTTCAAAAGCATGTTGAGCATAGAACTGAGAGGTCACCTGGTCTAACCCTTACTCAATGCAAATATTCGTAGTAGCTCTTAAATACCAATCCGTATGCAAAAAATAGTGACAGGCAACAAATATCTGCAGACAGAAGTTTGTGGAGCCCTCAGAAAACTAAGTGTGGCAATCTTTTCAGCACACAAGTCTGCTCTGTTGCTTATCACATCTACTGCAAGTTCCACGTCCATGCAAATATCTAACATTGGTTCTCCCAATGTTGCTGGATGCTGAACTATCGCTTACTGACTGGAGCCAATGGAAGTTGGAGGTAAACAGCATCTGACAAACTGCAGAGGTTAGCTAATTCTGTTTTAGTCAGTAGCATGAAAAAAACGTACTAAGAAAAGGGTAGTGATATTAATTGTAGGAACAGAGAGGATGTGATTCATTCTTGGAAACCAAGTTAAGAAAAGATTACTGGTCTCTCATATGTTTGCCTAAACGTGTTCACAAATGGTTTATAGGCCAGGATTCAACAACAATTTTTGTATACAAAATCAGAACTCAAGTACTAACCCATGGCTAGGAGCAATTCCACTTTCTATCTTGAGGCAGCCTAGATCTTTCTGTTCTTTCTCTTCTTTCACTGGTTCTTCAAGGCTAAAACACACACAAGAGCAATCTACTACATTATGAGGTATGCTGAAATAACCCTAACTGTAAATGAACCCCACTGTGTTTGGACACAAAGTGCATTAAAAAAAAAAAAGAGCCACCAATAAAATTTGTTGTTGTTCATTCTTTACTCGTTTTTATCTAAATGAAGGACAATAGTAATAGGGGTAAACATAACACAACATAAATGACCAGATATGGAAGTTTCTATGAAGTCATAATGTAATGGGTATGAGTTACTCGTGCGTAAACTGCCGCCTCTCTAGGCTAAATTGCCTTGTTAAACCGTTCTGACTGCACAGCCCATCTCAACGTGGCTGCCTCAGTCGCTGGCAGAATCCATCAGTGGGCGTTTCTTAAACCTCTTCCAACATAAAAGCTGTTTGACTCCCAGTCTCCTCCTCCTCTCACTGCGCGGGAGTCTTCTGCGCAGGGAGGGCGTGGGTAGCGGGGGACCTGTGCTCTCCTCACTGATGTCCAGTGAAGAGTCCTGGAGCCCTCTCTCCGCTTCCCCCATCTCCTCCCCTTTATCCCTGGTGTTGCGCTGATTTCCTTCCCCCTCTCCTGAGCTGCTTCTCCCCCTTCTGCTGGGTCCTTCGCCAGCATCATCTGGGAGCCTCCCCTTCGCCTCTCACTCCGATGTCAGTTCCCTGACACATAACTCTAATTTTGGCTCATAAATATGAATACCCACTCAAATCTATTTTGTTCAATTGTTGAATTCTGTGAGGTAGCCGTAATTTATATTCCAATAAAGGGGATGAATAAGATGAATCCATATATGTAAAAATCTGTATTTTTGATTCTGCTCAGTTCTCTTCCCTTCCTATGTTGGCTCAGTGAGAAAAAAAACCAAACAGAATTGTCTTTGTGGCAGAACTCCTAACTTCTTCTGTCCCAGTCCTAGACAATCTGACCAAAATTTATCTTTGAATGGGTCAAGATTTCCCCAGTATGATGGTCACACGGTAAAAACGGAGTGGAAAAGCATATCTGCTATCTAACCACAGGAACCTAGCCTAAATAAGGCCGTAATCCGAACCCCACTTACTTGGAAGTCCTACTGCATTCACTAGTACTTACCTCTTTCACTTCAGATCTAAAGTATTAATACAATGGGATTTGAAGAAACAATCTGGATCCTCCCATATCCACCACAGCAAAGTTTGAAGAAGGAGTTTTTGGAAAATATTTTCAAGAATCTTAGGAATATTTTATAAGCCCACTGAATTTGAAAATACAGAAGCATCTACATACCTTTTGTCCTTCTCACTTTCAGAAGATTGGCTAAGTGCACAAACACTGTCTTGGTCCTTTGCATATTCAACTACCAGAGTGTGGCCTAGAAGGTTCAGCTGATGCAATCTCGATAAAGCCTTCAATTGAACACAACATGCAGTTAAATCAACTAACATTTAAAATGCACTCTGACCCATCAACCTCTCAGTTTATCCCTTTCTTCTCCCCTCTTGCAATTTACTTTGCCTAAAAACTAAGGAACCTGGAGAGAAAGTTTGTTTGGGGGAAGAGCAACAACTTTCCATTCAATCCCTCTTAATGACCAAAATGGATAATGTCCTGACCGTTGCCTACAATTTTATACCAACTTACCAGCGAGAAAGGCATGCTGGAAATAAGTGAGAATTACTTCTCATTGCAGATAAGACTTGCTACACATGCAGAAAATTGCACTGTTAATGACTATGGGATTTGATTGCTTTCTTGCCAGTTCTTGAACTGGACACTGAAACTTATACTTCTGTTCCGATAATGTAGGTTACTTATAGATTTGTGGTTTATATGAGGCCAATATGCATATATTTTATAAATTTCCTACTCCAAGGATTTTACACTTTTATGTTAGACAGAAGATAGAAGTTAGGAGAGGCAAAGTTAAGATGACAACAGGATGTCTGTCATCTTAATACAGAAAGAGCTATAAAATATAAAGCTAAGAGCAACTCGATATATTTTCTGTTTCTTTACAGCAGGCTTCCTCAGACTTGGCCCTCCAGATGCTTTTGGCCTACAACTCCCATGATCCCTAGCTAGCAGGACCAGTGGTCAGGGATGATGGGAATTGTAGTCACAAAACATTTGGAGGGCCGAGTTTGAGGAAGCCTGCTCTACAGTCTTGAACACGTAGCGGGTAGCCTGCATTTGCACATTTACAAGTTAAGCATGCCTGTTTTAATATTAGCATCTAATATGTACACACAGTCATCGGTACCATACTCTGTTGTCTTTATGCTAACAGTTAATATTCATTTGCTAAAGTGTCCTTGCTGTTTTCTAACAACACCTAAATATATAATTATCTAAAGCATTTTGGAGGAAACTTATCCAGGCATGAATGCTCTTAAGCAAGTCCTCCCTCCAATCTTAATGGAGTTTATTCTAAGTAGATATGCAAACAATCACAGCCTTACAACCCAATCCTCAGAAATAAATCTCATTGAAATCAATGGGGTTTACTCCCCAGGTAAGCAGGGTTAAGACTGCAACCTTAGACTTATCTTCAACACTTTGTTTCTGTATTCAAAGGCAGACATCTTGACCTACAGCCATAGAACACAACAGCAAAAAAGAACAAAAGAAATAAAAGAACGAAATTCTGTAATGGTCTCAAATACACACCTGAGTAGCTGCATTTTCATTCGGAAAAGTAGCAAAAGCAGTGTGTTTCTGAGAGGGGGAAAAGAACATGCCAAACGTTGATTTTCCAATATAAGCAGAGAAAACATTAACACACAAATTATCCAATGTATTGCAGAATTTTTAAACGTGAATGTGGCTGCACCTAAAGACAAAGCAGGAAGGGCAACCATCTCTCTTTCTCCCTCCCCTTGTTAGAACTGGAACATCAAGAAAGAGAGTCTAAGATGTGGAATCAGTACTTTTTGAGTCCAGTTTTCTAACCAGCTCCGAATCCCCTATTTAACCAGTTTCCTAGTTTTCAGTAAACACGATTGCCGCTTTACGCTGCTCTGCATTCTGAGTAGAGGTTACTCACAGACATTTGTAGATATATCTTGAGCCGCTTTGCATGGCACTCTTAATATAAGCAGGCACGAAAATGAAGAAACATGGCTTGGTGACCAGGCTCCCAAATAGAAGCTCCCAGACACTTTGCTCCTCTCTGGTCCTTTCTGCCATTGCACTAACCCAACATTTGGTTTAGTGTGCAACGCCACACTGGCCATTGCATTTTAGTTTTAACTCTTATCGCACAACACTTTGAGATTATTATTATTATTACTGTATTATTATTTTAAAGCAAGTGGTCTATAATTTGATACAATAAATACATGTGCCAGATGTTAACAAATGGTCAAATTGTGTGTGTATATCCATCTATCTGGCGCCTAAAGGTGTACGGCAAAGACACCAGCCGGACCTCCCTGGGTGGCATAGGTGGTGTGTCCCTATCAAGGCGTAAGGCAAAACAAGAAGCGCCACCTTGCACTGACCTTCCTGCCCCTGGTTCTCCACCTGCCACGTTCTGGTAGAGAAGTGGCGAATCCAAGCGGGATTATTATTATCATTAATTGAATTTATATAACGCCCTATACCCAGGGGTCTCAGGGCATGCTCGCAAGGTCATGCGCAGCTCCAGCCAAAACTGACACTGCTTTCTGCCAAGGCTTCTACCCAGGGCTGGATTTAGGTTTGATGAGGCCCTGAGCTACTGAAGGTAATGGGGGCCTTATATGTCCAGCTGTCCTTTGTCAACAACAAATTGGTGCTTTTTTGCGTTGAATATATGCTGTACGGTAATTTATGGTATCTAACAGGTATCTAAAGCCATTTGCACATAATAATAATAATAATAATAATAATAATAATAATAATTTATTATTTGTACCCCGCCCATCTGGCTGGGTTTCCCCAGCCACTCTGGGCAGCTTCCATAAAAACCAAAAAACACTAAAATATCATACATTAAAAACTTCCCTGAACAGGGCTGCCTTAAGATGTCTTCTGAATGTCAGGTAGTTGTTTATCGTTTTGACATCTGATGGGAGGGTGTTCCACAGGGCGGGCGCCACTACCGAAAAGGCCCTCTGCCTGGTTCCCTGTAGCTTTGCTTCTCGCAATGAGGGAACCGCCAGAAGGCCCTCGGCACTGGACCTCAGTGTCCGGGCAGAACGATGGGGGTGGAGACGCTCCTTCAGGTATACTGGGCCGAGGCCGTTTAGGGCTTTAAAGGTCAACACCAACACTTTGAATTGTGCTCGGAAACGTACTGGGAGCCAATGTAGGTCTTTCAAGACCGGTGTTATGTGGTCTCAGCGGCCGCCCCCAGTCACCAGTCTACCTGCCGCATTCTGGATTAGCTGTAGTTTCCGAGTCACCTTCAAAGATAGCCCCACGTAGAGCGCACTGCAGTAGTCCAAGCGGGAGATAACTAGAGCATGCACCACTCTGGCAAGACAGTCCGCAGGCAGATAGGGTCTCAGCCTACGTACCAGGTGGAGTTGGTAGACAGCTGCCCTGGATACAGAATTGACCTGCGCCTCCATGGATAACAAATATAACAAAATATGCATTTTGTCAAAAAATTGTTGAACTGAAATACAATTAAGAAGATGTATATGGGGGGGGGGGCGGCACAAGAGAGTGGGGCCCTAAGCTATAGCTCATGGGTAGGCAAACTAAGGCCCAGGGGCCGGATCTGGCCCAATTGCCTTCAAAATCCAGCCCACGGATGGTCCAGGAATCAGTGTGTTTTTACATGAGTAGAATGTGTGCTTTTTTTAAAAATGCATCTCTGGGATATTTGTGGGGCATAGGAATTCGTTCATTTCCCCCCCCCCCAAAGGTCTGAGGGACAGTGGAGCGGCCCCTGCTGGAAAGGTTTCCTGACCCCTGAGCTTGTTTAGCTTATACGTAAATCCGGCACTGGTTCTGCCACCTTAAAAGCTTCTTCTGCCGCCCGAGGCAGTTGCCTCAGTCTGCCTAATGCCAGAGGCGGCTCTGACACCGCGGCTGCCTCAGGCGGCATTTCACGCCTCGGCCCGCCCGCCCCAGCCGCGCCTTCCCTACCAGCCTCCCGCGGTCGGACAGGACCCGCACGGAAGCGGCCCGAAGTGCCTCAGCAAGCTCTCCTTCTCCGAAGCCGTCAGCGAGGCGGGGAGGTGCCGCACCAGCAGGATCCGCCCGCTTCTCCCCGGCCGCGGCGGCCGGGCCGTCTGCTCCGAGCTGGGCGCCGCCATGTCGCCTCGCCGCGCGGACTGAGCATGCGCCCTGCAGCTCCCGCCGACGCCAGCCGCCGAGAAGGAAAACCTCGGAGAACCGAGTGGGAGAAGTTGTAACCTCGCGAGAGTGAAGGCGTCCTCAGGAGGGCGAGGACCAAAGGGACCGTCCCGTCGCTCTTTCGACGAAGAACTGCGGTACTCAATCGAACTGGAGGGCTGCTTTGCTCTTTGATAGCAAACGAGCGGAATGCTTTTCGCCTGTGTCAGTGATGATGATAATGATGATGAAGAAGAAAAAGAAGAAGTTGTTTATAGAGTGTCTAATGATACCCACAGAGTGTTCATGGCTGATGCCTGTGTTCAGTTTAGTACCGGAAGTTTAAGCTGTTTCTCTAGATGCCCTTGGATTGGGCATGCGCTGTAGGGGAAAGGGAGGTCCCAGTGGGCGGAAGTGTTCAAGTGCTGGCGGTAGTAAAGCGAAGCGGCTTCAGGTCGGTTTCCAGCCTTCTCTGTTTCTCAAACTTAGGATCCCCCACCCACCTATTGTTGGACTACAACTCCCATGAACCTTAGCAAGCAGTGTCAACGATCAGGGGTGATGGGAGTTGTTGTCCAACAACAGCTGGGGACCCAAGGATGAGAAACGAAAAGCCATCGCTCGTTGCTTCCGTAGAGAATAATGGAAGCTGATGCTGTGCGGGTCTTGCTTCTGTTTTTTGTGTGGACACGCAGTAAACCTTTAGCGTTATTCCTCTGGTCAAAGGCTGTTAAACAAAGGCTTTTAAATAAATTTCCAGCCGATCTATCCTTATGGCTTTTTGATTAATTCACTGATTCAAGCCACATACGTTTTGCATACCAAATTATGAAGGGTGGAGACGTGCTGCTCTCAGATGATGCATAATCTGTTGCAGATATATTTAAAACAACTGACTTTTTTAGAAAAATATGTGTTGCCTGATTAATCAGGACTGCTTTTAATTAACCCAAAAAGAAAAAGAAAAGGCTAAAAGGTCGCAGAATCTGATAGACGCTTCTACAAAATTATGAATCCTGGGAGGTTTCCCACTCTTTTTCTACTGTAGATACAGCTGTGCCCATTTTCCTCCTCTTGGCATTTGGGGTAGATAGAATTTAGGCCTGTTCTCTGTTGTTAGAAGTAAGAAAGAAGCTGATGTTTATATAAGATACAGCATAAGGGCTCTCTCTGTTAAAGACAGCATTGCACATATTTCTTACTAGTAATTCAGAATTTAATGCGCTAGAAGAATCTCACTCACTGGTAACTACATTTTCTTCCACCTTTTTGGGGGGGCGGGATTTAGAAATGTGACTGACTCATCACTATAGCTCTTCATAAATCACAGAGGGTGTCTGTCATTAAAGGTTGTAGAATGAATGGCCGGCTTTGGCCTGAATGATAGGTTAATTTTAAAAATGTGGAAAGCACTATGAAATCACTTCATCAATGTTACATACTCTTCTATTCAAAATCTAGCCATGTGTGCATCAAACACTAAAATAGTAACAGGATATATATGCCAAAATGCATTGCCTCTAAGCACAGATGATGCTCATCAAAGATAAATGTTGCATTTTATGGCTACAATTCTAATGCACACTTATCTGATGGAGAGCCACATTGAAATTGATGAGAATCACTTCTGAACAAACCTGGATTTGCTCGTGCCATCAACATGACATTTAAAAAATTCATGAATATTGTGTTGATTCATTTTGTTTGCGGAAGTGGCTAAGATCCAGCAGTAAACCCTCCAATCTGTATATCAGAATATCATGCAGGTTGTGGGGTCTTCCATAATGCTGTTTATCTTTTACATCATGAACACCTCTAGAATGAGAGTTGCTGCCATCATCATCATCAGAATTCGGTCTTTCTTTTCCTACTTAATATTACAGCCTGCCTTGCTTAGACAAGAAGAATACAGAATATACAGAATATATAGAATATAAGTTGCAATGTGGAATATTGAGGCTGACAAAGACTTTGAAAATGGTTTATTCTGTTAGTGGCATGAAATTGTGGCTTTTAAAATTCTGTAAGACCATCCCCATAGCTCCCTAGAACTCCTTTTCCTGGCAGAGCTCACTAGTGAAATGTAGAGCAACCCTGGATGGGTTATTAGATAAAATTGAGTTTTGCTTTAGAGTCAACTTATCTGTCTCATCTGTGCAGGTAGTTTTGGAAGTTCCAATAATATGATTGAGTTTCGCTTCTCTGTTTAAAGTGAACACCAAAGGCACTCCAAAAACAGAATATAGAAACACTGAGGGCCCTGCCATTTTGAAAATCGAAATGGACGAGGAGATTCTGTTATCTGATTATTCAGTATAAAATACTTGGCCTTCATTGTGATTTTCTGGCGGCGGGGAGGAGGAATTTGTGGGTTATATTCTGTTTGCAGGGAGATAAGTGGGATGAAACATTTGTGTGGGTTTTCTTTTTCTCTAAGCTACTTTTGTTCAGTGAAAATAAATGAAACTGACACAGTTTTTCCAAAACCCTGCATTGTGCCTTAACTGTATGAGAATCAACTTACAATATCCTTTGGAAGATAAATTGTAACAACAAAGTCAAAATCCTATTCAGACAATAAGTTTGAAAAACGTTGTTAGTCCTTCAGGACAACACGTTAATTTTCACTCACTCTGATAAATAAAAAGCGCAAGTGAACTTGACGTTTGCAAATCCTTTTAAATGCTCCACCCACTCTCAGGATACAAGAGTCTTTGTTTTAGAGTAATTTTTCACATTAACTAAAAACAGAATCCTATCTGTTGAAAGTGAAGGTGATGACTAGGGGGAAAGGGATGGTTTAGCATATCCCTAAACTGTAAGCTGATTGTTGGTAGCCATTTTGCACAACAAATGTAAACTATTGTTGTACTATTAGGTTAGAAATAGTGGGTTGGGGTCAGCATTGTACATTCAATGATTTCCCAGAAAATAATGTCATCATGAATTTAAAAGACAGTGAGCCAGCCTGTTCTCTGAGACAACAATAAGTCTGCCGTATTCCTGATGCGATGTTATAGCCAATGATACCCAGACACCATGTAAAAATAGGTATTGGTATGGTGTTCCGTTGCACCGGAAGCAGTTTAGTAATGCTGGCCACATGACTTGGAAAGCTGTCTGTGGACAAACGCCGGCTTCCTTGGGCTGAAAGCGAGATGAGCTCTGCAACCCCATAGTTGCCTTTGACTAGACTTAACTGTCCAGGGGTCCTTTACCTTTACGTCTCACGCTGCTTAAGGGCAAGAAAAGTGTGAGAGATAAAATATTGGGAGGTTAGATGCTAAGGTGATGACTTATAAATAGTCAAAAGTGTCCCACATTGACAAAGTATTTTCATGAATTTCTAGCAAGACTCTTATTGATATTTGTTATTCCTGAGATTCAGACCTAGAGGGGAAATGATTGCAATAACAACATTAGAATTCAATTCATGCAATTGTCAGTTGACAAAATTAATCCTAAAATTCATATTTTGTCTATCCTTGGAGTTGACTCATGTTTTCCTTTCAAACCATTGTGTTTGCTTCATGAAAACCTGCATTTTTATCACCAAAAATATACTGTTTGCAGCCATTTGACTGGATCTGGATCTGAATTCAATGATAAAATGTATATGCTTTACTCTGTTAAGAAGAGATGCATTTCACTGCTTAATATAAAGTGTAATTTTTTTTGCTTGTAAGTGTTTTTAAAAGCCAATAAGCTGAGTTGGTTTTGAGTTTGGATGTTATGAGATTCACTTTGCAATATGAGTGAGAGAAACACAACAACTTTGCTTGCATAGTAGGGGTTTATTGTAGCAAATAAAATTGAGGTTCTGGATGCAGATACAGTGGTACCTCGGGTTAAGTACTTAATTCATTCTGGAGGTCTGTTCTTAACCTGAAACTGTTCTTAACCTGAAGCACCACTTTAGCTAATGGGGCCTCCCACTTCCGCCGCGCCACCACTGCACGATTCCTGTTCTCATCCTGAAGCAAAGTTCTTAACCCGAGGTACTATTTCTGGGTTAGCGGAGTCTGTAACCTGAAGCATATGTAACCTGAAGCGTATGTAACCCGAGGTACCACTGTAATGCATTCAGCAAAGTTTAGTATGTCCTAGGGTTGCAAGTTTGCATACAGACATGTTTTGCAGGTGTCTTTCTGAAGCGAAGGAAAGGGGAACTTAGCAACATAGGATGCACAATGCTGCTTTAAATTTTAAGTACTATTCATATATGCTAATCCACTGTTTATAAATAAAACAATGATATATACTCCCCAATATATAACTTGTGCTTTATCATACTTCTCTAAATGAAACACCATCACTGCCAAGGAAAGTTTTCTTTTTCTTTTTTCCAATTAAGTATTGTTCAGTTGACCCCTTGCACTCCCTCTTTTAATCCCTCTAGTTCTGATGACGCTGTTGAAATATAAACTTAGGAAGCACAATTATTCCCCAGCTCCATGTTCCTCGAGGAAAGTGTGCATGCCACATCATCCCTTTGCACAAGCTGCCCACTCCTTCCTGCACATCTGGCCAGACTCCTCTGCAGCTGGATGATAGGAGGGAATTGTTTCTGAGAAGTTGTATCGCGCCTGGACCAATAACGCTGTATTACGGAGATAAAAGGGAGCATGTTACAAGGCAGAAGATTTACACTCTCGTTTCTTTCTTTGTGCATGTCATGTGCCCAGCTGGTCTGACTCTTCGTGCTGTTTCCAATTATACATGTCAAGGCACAATATTCTTGCAAACGTGAATGAGTTAAAGATGAAAGTCCGCTTCAAGCTGTTTTCCAAACCATTAGGTTAGGGTAGTTAAGACTGTAGTGCAGGACAAGGCTTTTTTTCAGCTGGAACTCACTAGAACTCAGTTCTGGCACCGCTCAGGTGGGTGCCATTGCCATTATAAGAGAACAAGGTGAGTTCATGGTGAGTTCTGTCACTTCTTTTTCTAGAAAAATAGCACTGGTGCAAGATATGCTATCCAGTGGTGCATCAGGGTGCCTTGACAAACCAATGGTGAAGCAAACTTCAGGGGGTCATTTGACAGGAACATATGGGGACCCATATGAACCGACCTGGACCCTGCGACCACCATCTGAGGCCCTTTTCATGCGCCTACTCCATGCGCCTACTCTAGAGCAGCGGTTCTCAACCTGTGGGTCCCCAGATGTTGGACTACAACTCCCATCATCCCTGAGCTCTGGCCTTGCTAGCTAGGAGTGATGGGAGTTG